ACATCTTCCAGTTCAAAACGAAAGTCGTCTGTAAACGACTACAAGAGTAAGGAACATACGGCGGGATGAATTCTTACCGGTGGTCGGAGGAAGAGCCTTAATTGTTACAAAAAGTTTGGAAATCAGGATGAGTAATGAGCAAGCTATTAAGGATTTGACGACACCTCTCCACATCTTTGATGACATGGTCTATCAGCTCAATACTGCATAATTACTTCTTCCAACTAGCTAAATAAGCGTAAGAAAACTGTACATCTACATCAGAAGAATTATCATCGCGGTCGCCAAGATTTTAGAGAACAGACGTCGAGAAGTTCTTTACTCCGAGACAATATGAGCAGTCCTTGATAGAATTTCTGCGAATTCTATACAGCACTTCATTCGTGAAAAAAAAACTAGCATTTGATACATAGAGTGCGCAAGAAAAAGGGAATGTGGCGAAAAGAGCTATTTCCCACAACAAAACTTCAACTGAATTCCTCCGCTCTAGCCTTTCCTATTGAAAATAACGATCAAAACTCATTTTTGGAATGTTTTGGTGGCCTCAAAATGTTCTGAGCTTCAAAGGGAGTTCTTCTTCTCAGTTCCCTGATGCAGAGGATCTCTGGACTGTCTGAGAGATAGATCTTCCTGGACGGTGAAGACTCTCACAACGTTGACAAGCGCATGGGTTTTTCCAGAAATGATATCACGTCTAGTGATCAACAAACACCCTATTCTGATTGCACGCCATTTAAAAGGAGCCTCCGAGTGAGGTCAGCGCTCCATTCTCAATTGTCACTTCCACAACGATGTTCTCATGGTGGATTATAATATGGCTTCTTTCACTACCCGACATTTCAATCCAAAAGCGCGAAAACAAAGTACTCTGTGACACCACTATAAAGGAAAAGGTGAGTTTACGAATGTTCCTCAGTGGCGCCAAATGGCTGTGGCGATGGTTTTCACCTGTGTAGTAGAAATTGATCAAAAGGTAGCCGTCTTCGAATCAAAAACTGACCTGGACAAACCATAAATGGTACAGCTCAGATGCCTTACAGCGACTCACAAATTGACGACAGCAAATTTCAATCGTAAACATGACGTTCATACGTTTCTCGATCACCTTGCCCTGAATTTATGTGGGCAGTGTGTGGTAATAAATGTTTAAACAAATATCGCTCGTGACTATCAATATCGCAGCATTTAGTTACCTACTTTCATGAGTGGTAGCGCTTCTAAACTCCGTATTCTGTAGATTGCGCCGTGCTTAGAGGCAAGCGCAGAGAAGGTCTCTCCCATAGTCAGGCCATCTTCAAACCAAAACGACCTTTTACTAACAAAACACCGTTCCTGCTATTACCTCCTCGCTGAGTACTGTACTTACACATCACGAACTAATGTAAGATTTTGGACCTTTTGTTACCCGGGCTATTTTGACCCATGCATGTAGGCTATTTGAGTGAACGTTGCATAGTTTCAAAGTCACAGCCCAAATTCTCCTCTTAGGTTACCCCTCTCAGCACGTCCTCTCACTAAAAGCCGTTTATGACCGACCACAACCGATTACGAGAGAGTATATTGTCCAAAGACCGGGTTCTGAAATCAGCTCTTTCTGTGAACCTTATCTGGACGCTATCAATCTCACCAACCCGAAACTCGAAATGTCACTGATTCACTCCTTACTTCTTCAGTATCAATTGAAGTTCAATAAAAATTACATCGCAATCAAGTGCAAAAAGTTCTAATCTATCCTAACTCAGAAGATTTCAATTTGATAAGCTGTTAACACGACGATGTTGAGGTGAAATCGCAAAATTTTAGGAATCCGAAGAGTTTCAACCATGTATAAAGTACAAACATCAATATGAAGACTGTAGCGATGTGAAGATTGAACGAGGCTTCGTACATGATACACAAATGGATGTGAGCATTCAGCCGAACACTAGGGAATAAAATAACTAGCTTTTTATAATTACAAGATTGCCTAAATTGCCTAAATTTTGCCTACAGGCGATATTTAGGTGATAATTTGAGACAGGCGATTTCCTTGTGAGCCACAGAATGCCTCTACTTTGTTTTTGGGCCTACACCTTCCTGCTACCAGCCTACTACAGTTGTCCGAAAAAAAGCATCACTTGTACTTGGAAGTTCTGAGATGCCTTCCGGATCACTCGATCAGCAAAACAGTTGAGTTCGACGCCGGAGAGAAGCGACCATGAGCAGCATCAAAGATGTGGTAGAGGATCGAGATCGAGAAGAATTTCGCCAGAACCAGGCAACGGCGGATCCCCGGGATGGCGTGGGTCTAACACTAGGGAGAAGAAAAAGGAGAAGGAATATTAAACCTGTACCTCAGCAGATGTCGACGTGTACACTTGGCTGAGATGAGAGCATTTCTTGATAGCCGATGATCAACACGTAGAGATAAATGATAAGAGATTAAAGTAGCTATAGTGCAGTGTATGGGATTTATAAAAAAAGTTACTGGATAATGTATTAAATGGATACTTACATGGAAGTGACTCCTATCCTATTTAGATAACTAAATAGTACAGGAATTATAAATAAAAGACTCGGATACTACAAATCAGAAGAGATCGAATTCGAGTACAGAGTCCAATCAGAGCAAACGCTCTTTTTGTTATGGTCTAAAAAGTTTTTTTAGTGTACGCTTTTAGTGAAGATTCTCTTCTAGTCTATAGATCGTTCAATTAGATCGTTCAATGAGGAACTATGCAATTCGGAATACACTGTATAAAATCAGTGAAATTAGTGAATACGATATACTCAGGATGGTTTCCTCGAACTCACAGGCACCGTTACCCACATTTTTGCGCCTTCTTGAAGTCGTTGTGCAGACCAGAAACCACTTGGAGTGACATTCCAAATAGGGAGTGCTAGTGCATCTTGGAGCTCCTGCTTGATGTACGGATTGTCTTCCGAGGCCTTTCCCTTCAACAGATCCCACAAAAAGGGAGCCGTCGGATGACCCAAACATCTCGAAAGATACTGCCATTGCCAAAGAGCCCGTCAGAAAGTTGATCCACTTTTGGGCGGTATGTGCAGTTCTCCACTCTGTTAGAACCGGGTATCGTCAACTTCGGCCTCACTTCTTAACTCAGGTAGCGCTTCAAGAAAACAAAATGTTGATTTGCAATCAAATCGGACCTAGGGGCGAATAGAAATTCTTAATTTTAGCATGACCATCACATCAGTTCTTGCTTACTATTAGCAATCACGAAATGGAACTGCATAGTTAGTGCCTAGAAGCCCTGTGGATTCTGAATAGTCAAAAGAAGTAGGCAGACAAGCAACGATCGCCATTTCCAGCTCGGCAAGTGCTATGGAAGAGATGACAACTGGGTGGAATGTTCTTGTAAACAGCACTCGCGCTGTATCATACTCGCAAAAGTACGTCTTTATATATTTCTTTCAAGATATTTTGTATTTCTTGTCAGAGAGTGGCTCCTGAAGACCGAATATTGGATATTCGTCCTAAATACCTACTGGGCGTATGGTCATTTCGAAAAAAGGGATGTTTCACTAACGTGTAGTTGTATGAACAGCCTGTTTTTGAACCTTCTTAAGATGAATACCCACGAGTAGCTTGCCAGGTTCTATCTAAGTTGAGGGCTGAGCACACTCCAGGTAGGTAGCCAGGGTACCCTAAAGCAGACACGAGAACTATTCATTGGAGGCGGTCCCGAATCGACTCCTAGACTACTTTCCATTCACTCGAATACAAGCTTTTGCCTGAGCCGATGTGCAAGACACCGACCGCACTGGCACTCTACACACCTGAACACATGGATTGACTTGCGAAGAGATAGAACAGTTATTAGGTCGATGCATAATTACAGCGGATTTTTTTGCGGCTTTTTTTCTCTTGATAGAATTTGAATATTGAGTTCTAGTTTTTTAGAAATAATCTGCTTGATTTCCTCTACAAAAATGTACTTATAAAACCATCCATATATTCGCGAAATTAGACTCAACTACTTCGAGAAAGGTTGGAAGATGGCAGAGTCATTCCGCGATTTCAGTAACTTTCCAGCGATGGAACAACCAGCCAAAGCCAACCAAGAAATGGGATGTGCTCCTAAATCTGCCATATTCATCAGCAGAAACTTCTATAGATTATCTCATCATCCGTTCGCTGAAAAAATGGCTAGGGAATAGAGCTTACGTCAGATTTGGATGACTTGATGGCCGATGTAAAGGCGTGGATCGCCCCCAAGGATTCAGACTTCTTCGCTTTTGGATTCCGACCATCTGGATAATGGGAAGCAGTGCTTGACGTAGATCATGGATAAGTTCCGGAGTGATTTTTTGTACATGATTTTGTTCAGTATTTTTAGCGTTTCGTTAATAAAATTTGTTGAAAAAATCCGCGATAATTATGCATCAACCTAATAATCGAACCAACATAGTCGAAACAGGGAGTCCTTTTCTCGAATCCACCCGCTTCCCTGCGAAGGTACAGGTGACTTGAATTCCGCAAATTATTCCCCACTTGATCACCTGTGATGGCGACTCGCTAATCGACTAGAAACCCTTCAGTGAGAGAGGGAGTGGCAGTGAAGGAGATTCGTGGATTGCCCTACGGCACTCCTAGGAAAGGACGGGCTTGTTCGGATTGCGGATGCAGATGTAATTCAAAACGGGGCACTTTGCTGAAATGAAGCTGGTAGGTGATGCCGCTAGCTACTACACGTCGCTTCGCGGTAAAAGGAATCCTGTCCAGTTTTAAACAAATCCAGAGGAAGCCGAAAAGTTGAAGGAACAGTACTGACTGTGATCCATTTGCTAGCATAAAAACTAATTTTTAGGATGACAATTTCTCTTAAAATATTAAAGTAGACCGTCTTCATTACATTTTGTAGTAACATTGGCGAAACATTTGCGAGGGAGCTATTCTTATGTAGAACCAAGGAAGTTACTGAAATGACCGCTTTCTTTTTTAGAGAAAGGCGCGCACCTATTCGGAAGTATATGGTAATAAATGCGAATCAGAAATAATGAATGCGTTAAATAAGAAAAGAGAGGAATGGAGAGGTGAAACCGCAACCACATTCGCTTTCGCAACAGAAGCAATCATTTCGAAAAGACGGTCTACTAGTGCCGCTTCAACAAATGAAACAGAGGCCAACAACACAGCTGTACCAGAGACTACCGAGTTAGCCACAACCATTTCTGAAGCCATATTCACTACTATAGAAGCCACCACCGAAGTAATGTCCACTGACATAGCTACAACTTCTCCTGAACCCACCACTGAAGTAATGTCCACTGAGATAGTTACAACTTTTCCTGAAGCCACCACTGCTCCTATGAAAAAAACCACTGCCCAATCAAGTGCAGGCGGCACTGAAGAGATTACCACTAAACCCTCCAGAACTACTCGTAAGACTAAAGTGGCGTCCAAAACCACTGCAACGACAGCAATGACCTCTTCGGAGGAAGCAAGTGAACCGTCAAGTACGAATATTTTGGGACCAGTAGGCACTGAAAATAATGAGAGCCCGACGAGTCTATCGCAGACAGATTACAGTTCTCCTATGGAAATACCACTGGTCCTAACCACATCAGAAGGTGAGTTGGGTCCAACTTGACTTCATGGCAACCGTTAGCACAAGGAACTCAACAGGGCTAACGAATCAATTCTTTTTGTATTTTAGAAACATTTCCTGCCAACGAATCGAGTCTGATACACGAACCTCCACAAGAACATCAGCCTAACAAACGTGAAGTGCAGTACGTGAAGGAATAATTCAGATGATCTGTAATGATTACAAAATCGGCCCAATTTTGGTCTGGAGCGTCAAAACTGAGAAAACAACCTTTTGGTCCTGACATGACCCCATCACATTGACACTTTGCACGTATTCAAGTCGCCAAAAAAGGAAATATTCGGAAAACCAACATGCTAGAAAAGAAGTACATAGAGAGGAAATCTAATAGAAAAGTAGATATCTCAAAATTTGCTAGTTTTGTCATGCTGTCATGCTAGTCATGCTCCCCAAAATACACGATACAAGACAAATGTCGCGCAGTGAAACCTCAGGGCAGCAGTGAACTTCTGTATGGGTTTTGCTTTCTACTCCTGAACAACGTTTTTTTTTTCAGCAGGAAGGCTGCTCTCCGCCTTCTCCTTCTCAGCTGTGGCATGGTCTGCTTGTTAATCTTCCAGCTATTGTTCATCAGTTTGTTGCGAAGGGCCTATCGACAGCACTACGAAAGCACTTTGCGCAGTTCCTCAGGTCACTCCAAAGGGCAAAGTGTTCCAAAAGGAAAGAGTGAGTATAGAAGATAAAAAGGATAAAATTCGTGGACATTGGTCAATCCTGAGGGGCCCTTACGCTCGAGTTCCATACGTATTGGATGCGTGTGTAGCTTATGCAATGCTTGCGGTAGTCAACCGATGAAACCTCCCAGACAAGTCTGGTACGAACTAGTCGACCCCGAAATGATAGAAGGCTTTCTTGACCCAGGCGGATATCGCTCCACGTTGCGAACCAGTGACTGCTAATGTGAAGTGCGCCACTTGCCACTACACCACCACTGTCGTATGAGTGAGTAGGAGTTTGTAGGAGTGAGTTTATCAGAGGGAATTTCGAAATCGTCTGAGTCAACAGCAAAATCATAAGTCAGAGCATTCCAAGTAACAGCAAAATCATAAGTCAGACCGTTCCAAGCAGCTCAGAGCAAAGCGATCTATGAAACAACACTGACGAGAAATATTTGCAGAACAACAAGGAAGTACCGATATGGTTACTGGACCGACCCAAGGAACAATTGGAAGAACGTCTTCGCAACAAGGAAATGATATGGTTACTGGACCGACCCAACTAACCACTGGAGAACCGTCTTTTCAGCCCATCCGAACTTCACCACCATGAACAACATTCTCCAAAGATGAATCACTGTCGATTTGTACTCTTCGTGTGACAAGTAACAGAATAAACAACTGACGACCTCTTCGCTTTTCTACAATAATAGACGATCTTACAAATAATCACGAGCAACATTTATAGATTTCTTTTGAACTCATTGACTGTGACCAAATTTTAACATGCCTAAAGCCGCCCCGAGGCAATAATATGTGATATTCCTCGTTCGTAAAAGTCCCATGGACTCATTCCCATTTCTATTACTTGCAACTGTTCATATTCTGGAAGAGGTGCACAGCTGCAAGTTACAAAAGTGATAATTAGTTTGGTGACTTCCAAAAACTGCGCGCCGCAGCGGTCCCATTGATAAAGCAGGAAATGCTTTCAATGCTTTGCTAACATCAAAGTGCCCACGACTACACAAGCCGATTTTCCCTGCATCTCCTGTGGACCGTTGATCACTAATTTGCTTGAACGGGTGCCAGTAAGGTCTCCGTCCGTTCCTTCTGGACCCTCTTCGCTTAACATACTGTCCAGTAATAAAGTGTTTTCCAAGTTTATTTCCGGTGAAAATGTAGTTGGGGGGGGGGGGGGGGGG